TTACAAGTACAACCCTGTACCCAAAAAAGTTGGAATGCAGCAACATGTCTCAAAAAATTCAGATGGGGTAACAAAAAATAAGTGGTACTAAAAGGAAACAGCTGGAGGAACATTCTGCAACTAATTAGATTAACTGGCAACAGGTCAGTAACATGACCGGGAATAACAAGAACATCTTAGAGAGGCAGAGTTTCTCAGAAGTAAACATGATTCACCAGTCTACAAAAATTGTGTGACAGTTTTAGAATAATGATCCTCAGGCTCAGGAAATCTTCCAGAAATCATTAAAAAGGACAAGGACCATTTGCCATGTTGTCAGCGCTCATCTCAAAAGCCTGCATCTCTGATTGTACAGTATGGTGGTGCATTAGTGACTATGAAATTATCAACGCTGAAAGGTTTGTGCAAATTTTAGACCAAAATGTTCTCATCCAGATCTTTTTCGGTGATGACCTTGCTTATTTCAGCAAGACAATGCTAAACACCATACTGCAACTATTACAACAGCACGGCTGCATGAAGTGAAAATTACAACAAAGAAGACCCAAAACAGTGAGAATCCTATATCAGACAAGCAGAGATGGGCAGTAACACGTAATCCGATTACTTTTTTAAAGCAACGAGTAAAGTAAGGGATTACTATTGCAAAAAAGGTAATTAGATTACTGTTACTTTCCTGTAAGCACGATGCATTACTGCGTTACTAAAACCGTGATTTTTTTTTCATGACAATGACGTAAGCGAGTGCGACGTTCGTGGCAACAGCTGTGTGCAGATCAACAACGGATAATATATCGAGTGCGGCAGAGAGTATGAGCGTGCAGCGTTAAAGCGTGGAAGTACTGATTAGCGTCTGCTGTTCACTGCGTGGGAAGAAAACTTCTTTTTGCAGCGAAAAAACCCTTAACTTCCGAGCAAGCACCGAGTACGCAGACTGCAGAGTGCGCTACCACGTAATGGGAAATTCACAGACAAACTCGCGGATTCTTCAACTGACCGCTGCGGCACACCTGCACCAGGGCAAACCTCCGCCTGCTATACAGGTGAAAATAGAGCAACAGGACCGCTGAGTCTTTGATTTTATTTATTTTCTGCTGTGTTTCACTTGCATTTATTTGAAAGAGTGAGTGTAAACACAAAAATGTTTTTATTTTATGTGCTGGAATGTGCAGAAAATAGGTTTAAATGTTAAACAAATTTCTTCCAGTCAGAGAATGTTGCATATAATTTAATTTTTGCTTGATGCATAAAGTTAAAAGATTAAAACTGATAAAACAAGTTTTAAAAAGAGACTTTTCCATTTGATTACATTTTGTATGATGGATTATGCAGAAAAAGTAGAATTGGGCTGAAAGATCTATCGCTTTATCACCTATTCAGGTTGTAAATCGTGTTTTTAAAAAGTAACTAAGTAATTAATTACTTTTGAAAATAAGTAATCAGTAAAGTAACAGGATTACTTTTGGGGGGAAGTAATCAGTAATTAGTTACTGATTACTTTTTTCAAGTAACTTGACCAACACTGCAGACAAGAATGGGACAACATTCCTCTCCAACGAAATCAAACACCTGAACTCCAAACTCAGGTGTTAAGGACTGTTGTTAAAAGACAAGGGGATGCTATGCAGTGCTAGTGCCAGTGTTTTATTTTGTTTTATCTAACCTATAGCCCAAATTCACCAAAAAGAAAAAAAAACTAGACCTTTATGCGTGTCTGTGAACTATTTTGCGTCCAATGACAAGTTGTTTTTGGAATTTTGTCATGCTACAGTGATTTGTGAATTGCCTTTGATTAGACAGCCTCCTGAAACTTGCAGAAGTCTTTCTTCTTAAAACATTCTTTAGTTTTCAGGTAACCAAAATGATTAAGACACGTTTTTCTAACTAGTTTTTACAAGAATGTTGCAAGGAGCCACACACCACCTGGTGCAAACCAGTGAAGGATTATTGCTTAATGCAGCCAACATCATATTCAGATGAAAAGGTTAATTTCCCTTTAAAGACATAATCTTTTAGCGAGAAATGTCAGAGCTGGTTAGAAACACAGTGCACACTGAGTAGTTCTTTGACATGCAGTGTATTTGAGCTTGCTGAAGTCTGGAAAGTATTCTACTTTCATAGAAAAATAAAATCAGTTCTGCCAGATCTCTCAGCAAGTTTGTAAGATTGTGTTGCACTCACCCACAGACTGTGCAGAGACAGCCAGCAGACTGCATGTGCTGCGTGGGGGAGCGAAAGTGTGAGGTGCACAGATGGAGAAGAATAACATCAATAGGACTGGTGCGCTGACAGATTCTGTAAATCTGATTTTTAATGAGACATTCGAATAAAGAATTTAACAGCACTTTTCTCTTATGTATACAGCAAGACCACGAACTACAGTTTCTACTTACTTTACACGATGAATGATTTTTAAAGGCAGTGAGCAACTTTGAGGGTTTTTTTTCTAAGAGTAATTGGCCATGTTTCCTTTTCAATAAATTGGAGCTTGATTTGAAAGACTGTGATTTCAGCTCGCTCGATGTGTTGTATACTTTACGTGTCAGTAATGGACGGAGGTCAAAGTGAGAGAAAATGGTAACAGAAGGCTAATGTTTGTGTTTTCAGAAAAATCTGATGAAAAACGCCATTGCACTGGCTGACTTTTGATGTTCTGATTTCCTTAGACTTGGCAGCCCCCGATAACAAGAGAAATGATTTGACACGATACTTTCCAAGGGTAATTGACCCTTTTCCTGGACACACACACACCAAGATCAAAACAGTGTATCCTCTAGACTCCAAGAACCACTGATTAAGCATAATTTACAGTAGACGTATTTCCCTTCCACTTCTAGGGTAGACCTGGAATAGACATACAGTGGGGCGAAAAAGTATTTAGTCAGCCACCGATTGTGCAAGTTCCCCCACTTAAAATGATGACAGAGGTCAGTAATTTGCACCAGAGGTACACTTCAACTGTGAGAGACAGAATGTGAAAAAAAAATCCATGAATTCACATGGTAGGATTTGTAAAGAATTTATTCGTAAATTAGGGTGGAAAATAAGTATTTGGTCACCTCAAACAAGGAAAATCTCTGGCTCTCACAGACCTGTAACGTCTTCTGTGAGAAGCTTTTCTGTCCCCCACTCGTTACCTGTATGAACGGCACCTGTTTGAACTCATCATCTGTATAAAAGACACCTGTCCACAGCCTCAAACAGTCAGACTCCAAACTCCGCCATGGCCAAGACCAAAGAGCTTTCGAAGGACACCAGGAAAAGTATTGTAGACCTGCACCAGACTGGGAAGAGTGAATCTACAATAGGCAAGCAGCTTGGTGTGAAAAAATCAACTGTGGGAGCAATCATCAGAAAATGGAAGACATACAAGACCACTGATAATCTCCCTCGATCTGGGGCTCCACGCAAGATCTCATCCCGTGGGGTCAAAATGATCATGAGAACGGTGAGCAAAGATCCCAGAACCACACGGGGGGACCTGGTGAATGACCTGCAGAGAGCTGGGACCAAAGTAACAAAGGTCACCATCAGTAACACACTACAACGGCAGGGAATCAAATCCCGCAGTGCCAGACGTGTTCCGCTGCTGAAGCCAGTGCATGTCCAGGCCCGTCTGAAGTTTGCCAGAGAGCACATGGATGATACAGCAGAGGGTTGGGAGAATGTCATGTGGTCAGATGAAACCAAAGTAGAACTTTTTGGTATAAACTCAACTCGTCGTGTTTGGAGGAAGAAGAATACTGAGTTGCATCCCAAGAACACCATACCTACTGTGAAGCATGGGGGTGGAAACATCATGCTATGGGGCTGTTTTTCTGCCAAGGGGACAGGACGACTGATCCGTGTTAAGGACAGAATGAATGGGGCCATGTATCGTGAGATTTTGAGCCAAAACCTCCTTCCATCAGTGAGAACTTTGAAGATGAAACGAGGCTGGGTCTTCCAACATGACAATGATCCAAAACACACCGCCCGGGCAACAAAGGAGTGGCTCCGTAAGAAGCATTTGAAAGTCCTGGAGTGGCCTAGCCAGTCTCCAGACCTCAACCCCATAGAAAATCTGTGGCGGGAGTTGAAAGTCCGTGTTGCTCGGCGACAGCCCCAAAACATCACTGCTCTCGAGAAGATCTGCATGGAGGAATGGGCCAAAATACCAGCTACTGTGTGTGCAAACCTGGTAAAGACCTATAGTAAATGTTTGACCTCTGTTATTGCCAACAAAGGTTATGTTACAAAGTATTGAGTTGTATTTTTGTTATTGACCAAATACTTATTTTCCACCCTGATTTACGAATAAATTCTTTACAAATCCTACCATGTGGATTCATGGATTTTTTTTTCACATTCTGTCTCTCACAGTTGAAGTGTACCTCTGGTGCAAATTACTGACCTCTGTCATCATTTTAGGTGGGGGAACTTGCACAATCGGTGGCTGACTAAATACTTTTTTGCCCCACTGTATGAGATGTTCATCTCCATCTATGTATGTTGTGCACGGTTTAAGCTGGTGACTGAATGTGGCGAGTTGCCAGCCAAGACTCAGTGTTTCTTGGGAAATGGAGAAAAAAGGGGCATTGTTCTAGGAGCAGATACCAGCTTTACGAGCAAATTCAGCTGGACTGAAATTTTTTTGCCATGTATAGAAAGCAGGAGTGGAGCGGGACCTGACAAAAGATGACATTGGTTTGTAAGTTTTAGGCAGTGACGCTCAGGGGGATTCCATTATGTGGCTGTCACACAGCATTAGGCGAGACAGCAAACACTTTCATGTGTGGATTACCATTTACCCGTTGGAGATAATAGATATTTGCCTTAGCTAATCCATTTCTCTATTGATTTTTTTCTCCCTTTAATAACTTCTTGCAAGCAAGCAAATTTTAATAAGTGCAAGAATGCTGACATGTAAGAAGCTGGGACAAAGGGCTGTGTTTGACACAGATAAGCTGTTTAGTGTAGTTTTCCATGCAAAGATCATTTTGACAACTTTATTTATTTCAAACAACACATACAGTTTGTAAGCGCACATTATGTTTACATGTAACAGAAAATCCATCTGCTTTCATGTAATAGTGTTGTGCAAGTGGGGTATCCTTTTTATTTTTTTAAACGATTTCAGAAGTAGGTCAAATGGTGACTGGTCATTTCTTTGACAGAAGAGGTCATTCCTCTTGTTGAAAGCCTAATAATAATAAATCTCATGCCACAGCTTTTGGCAATGTTCTCCTCATTTCAAAGATAAAACCAGTGGATGAATTTATGCTAGTAGTTACTGTCTGTGTAGCCTAATGCTGATATAAACCACTTTTGTCCTAGATCTATTAATAGAACAGTTGCTATTCCTGCGTTGCTAAAGAAAAATACATACATAAATACCGTGTAAGTCCCAACAGTTCACTTCTGTTTGATAAATCTAAAAAAAAAAATTCTAAAATGATTTAGTAAGCTTGAAGTACCTTTTCGTGAGAGTGCCTAACAGCAGGAGAATTACAGAATATTACAAGCATTATGCATCATTTCTATGATATCAATTATGACTAGTTGCTTACATCGTCAGACTGAATTACCTCTGGAATTAGATCATTCGTGATATAACAGCTAAGACTGTCAGTAATGACACGTTGATTTAATCACATAACATTGAATTGAAAAGGAAATAAATATTTTGTTATTTTAAGTTTTAGCTTAAAGACCTGCAAAACCAAATAGTAAGAACGAGGGTGGGCAAAGATAATAAGGACATTTTCCACAAACACTATTTTTGGTCACCACTCCGAAAACTCATTGTGATGTCAGGTGTTTACTTGTTGGAGGTTCCTGGTCCTTGGTTTCGGTACAGGTGAAGGCTGTGGTCTGTCAGGAACTTCATACATGAGTGAAGGGCTGTTTTCAGTCTGAACTTCAAGCTGAGGAACATTCTGGTAATATGTTCTTGGTGAAGGCTGAGGTATCAGCGGTGGAGTGACAACCTCTGTTGGGTGGTTATTCTTGTGTTCTGGGCTTACAGAGTGAGTCTCCTGCTTCTGTAGAGAAAGCATCCGCAGTTCGCCTTTATCCCTGGGACTCGTTTGGCTTTTGTTGCGTCTGAGTAAACAGCACAATCCAACGATAACGAAGAGCAGAAAAAGAATCAGACCTCCTCCTCCTGCTAGCACTGCCATTACAGTTTGACGTTTAAAAGAAAGTAAAGGTGGACAAGTCGGCCGAACCTTGTCGCTACTCGCCTTGCTGATTTTGTTTGCCACATCACACGTGAAACTTCTCTCAGCTTTCAGATCGATAAAAGATATGCTCAGTGTTTGTTTTGTTTCACTTTTTAATGTCTCCTTATCAAGCGTCCATGAAAACACCAAACCCTCAGGTTTAGTAACATGGCAATTAAGATTAACAGCCATAGAGCTGAAGTCACAAGAATAACTGAGCTGAGGTTTTGATACTTTGTCCAGCACGCAGAGGCGCCCAGTCCATGTTTTAGCAGATGCATTATTGGGATGCAGTACATGTCCTTTGTAAATCCCTTGACTTGAAAACAGAATTTTCTTAAGCACGAGTGATCCATTTGAAGTAATGTCCTCTGGTTTTCCAGTTGACACTTTCCCTTGCCTGTAGAAAATGACTGTATTGTTATGAACCCATCTCAGGATATGAGAGTTTGTCAGTCGTTCATATGCAAGCGGCAGAGTCAGACTCTGCCCAGGAGTGGCATAGAGATCACACGTATCTTCTTTTGCCATTAAAAGGTTGATGAATCCCAAAAGAATTGCAGCACCAAACATGGCTGTAAAATATGCCATGAGATCCAGAAGTTTTAGAAGTCAAGATGATTTCCAAGCCTCGCTCCAGGACCCGTTCTACCAAAATGGGAGTGATACATTCGCAGCTCAGAATTTATCTGACTTTATTTGGGAAGTGAATCTTCAGTAGTGTGGAAACCACTTCATAAAAGTCTACTTTCAGTTCTGTAAAGCTGACTAAAAGCGCTGTCAGAGTCATGCGGTAACTGGCATTTACCCGTTTTCCTTCATGTGACATGACGTGATGTGACGTGGTGGAGAAAGAATTTTTCGTCAAAATATCACTTAATAAACCATTACAAAAAGTAATACCTTTTAAATGTTATTTATAAAAGCCACAGGGGATTCACAGTTGGCATCACATAACTCCCTCTAACCATAGCTCTCCAATGAGGAACAGATCCACACCAAAACCCCAAGATAAAGCAACTGAGGATCTCTCTTTAAGACGAAAATACAAAAAATAGATACAAACAAGTACCGAGTAGTAGTACCAGTAATCACAATGAAGATGCCAAAAATCAATGCTCAACATGTTAAACTTATCATCTGTGCTTATTTGAAAGCTTTTTTTAATTTGTAGATGCAGAAACGTCACCATACTGGAAGAGATTAGAAGACATTCAAAGAGCAACAACATCATAATAAATGACTTGATCTGTGCTCTGTAAAAAGAACACATCCAGCAATAGTATAATATTTCAAAAATGTAATATGCATGCTATATTAGATTACTGAAAATAACATGAAAAATCACCAGTAAGATATTTCCCTGCTGGCCTTTGCTTTATATATTCTGGTTATTGGTTTTTGCCTGTCGAAGAATACAAATGACTTTTATTTGTGGAGTCTAAATTGGTTTAGTCATGGCCGCCTTTTCTGATAAAGCAAATGAGTAATGAGACCACTGCCTCATGTTAATATTTGTTACAAATGCCTTTGTTTCAGTGGCTTCAGTTAAACTGCTCAGCTTGTGTATTTTGTAATTATAAATGGTGCCCCTTGAAACTATAAATCTTTTCCAGACACTTTCCTTTGAGAGTAGACCTCTTCTGCAGAAAGTCACACAACAGTATTTTCCTTTGAACAGTAACAGTCTGACCTTATTAGCCTGATTAGTTTTAGTTCAACAAGTGTCCAGGTGGCACACAGCTTCAGCTACTTTCACGGTCTTTAGGTTTTTTAATTTGGTAGATGTGAAAACGAGCTGGCTTTTTTTTTCTTTATGCCATTAAATATACTATTTGCCTTTGAAATGCACTTCAGTCATCACATTCGAGGGAGCGCTCTGTAAATCCTCCCCACAGCATTCCCGGTAAACACTGTTCATTGTTCATTTAACGCACAACACACCTCTGTCATTCCACAATTCGTGCCATCTATAACCCTTCAAGGTACTGCAATTACTGCCGTGGCTTATGCTGCACTGGCATGAGTTCATTTTGCACCCCACAACTATAATTTCATGCCATTAGCGGTGATTCACAATCTTTCTGTAACTCTCAGCACCTTCAAAGAAACGCTTGGCGAGAAGAACACCTGTTTCTTCTAGTTTCACCGTCATTACACTTTTTCCTACCCTGAGGGAACAGATTGATGTAAAATATTAGCTATTCAACTGAGTGTGTGCAGGGGGCTGAGTGCAATAAATTCCTAGTTACAAATGTTGTAAAGATTACACGTGCTTGTTTGTGCAATGAATTGAAAGCAGCAGGTTCACAGACACGGGGGAAAACAGTCAAAGAAACATATGGTGTCCTTGTGTTTTATATCATAGCTGACATGAAGCAAAGAACGTGCTTATTTCAAATTCTCCACTTTTTTGATTAGTGTCTTTAATACAGTACCTGGCAACAAACACTTACGCAGAGATGTATTTAATAAAGCTGTCGGCTGGAGGAGTTTCATAGCCCAGCTTCGCTGCATTGACAGGCGTGGCAGCAATTGTGTCAGTAAGATCATCAAAATCCAGTTGTGAAAATGTTTCAGCTGAGACTTCTTGTGTTTCTGACCATAAAGGTTTTTTAGGCTTTCCCAAATAAAAACTATAACTCCTTTTTCTTCCCTTTCCCAGAAGGTAAGCCCCACTGCAAGGGTGTTTTCAGGATTTTCTTTTAAAACAGGATGCTCAGCAATAAATACCAAATCAACTGAGAACTGGCTGAAACGTCACCAAATTCAAGATGAGGTTGCTCTGTAACATTTCGGCAGTTGCTCTGAAGCACAGCATTCAACCCAGAGGTAATGGTGCTAACAAAATCTTTAAGAACATTTTTTTTCTATTGAGTGGTAAAAGAAATGAACAATGAACATATCCTTTCCTTGTTTAAAGTAAAGGAGTCACCAAACCTTAGTGAAGTATTTGAGAGGGAGGAGATTTAGTGATATATTAATTCAATTCAATTCAATTTTATTTATATAGCGCCAAATCACAACAAAAGTCGCCTCAAGGCGCTTCATAGATACAGAGAAAAACCCAACAATCATATGACCCCCTATGAGCAAGCACTTTGGCGACAGTGGGAAGGAAAAACTCCCTTTTAACAGGAAGAAACCTCCGGCAGAACCAGGCTCAGGGAGGGGCGGGGCCATCTGCTGCGACCGGTTGGGGTGAGAGAAGGAAGACAGGATAAAAGACATGCTGTGGAAGAGAGACAGAGGTTAATAACAGATATGATTCAATTAGAACTTTATCTGATTGTAATTTTAGTATTATGTATACACTTGTGTTTTTAGGCTTTGAAATTTGTTAAGGAGACGTTAATCATTTAAGAAGATGGATGGATGGATGGATGGATGGATGGATTCAAAGAGGAAGACAGCAATTGCTTTTCTAAGAAAAGGTCATCAGGACCCCCACACAAGCTGTCCCTTTTCAGTGTCTGGGGTGGAAATTTAAGTTTTATAGGGGGAATTTGCCTGCCCCTACTACACTGGTCATATGGTCCATATCATTATGAACACTCCCAAACACACTCAAAGCTGAATGTCAGCACCTTGACCACATAGCATGTGTTTCATTTCTATTTCAGTGTGCTGGAGTAGAGCCAAACAATGAAAAACATATTAGTTCTTATACTTAGACACTGCTCTGTGTAATGATAAATCCTGGACATATTATTAGAAATGTTTAACGGCACCACTCAGTGAAGTGAAAGCTAAATCAAACTTTGCCTGCATCCTGTTACATTGCAAATGATTTTCCATGTCACAGTCTAATAAGCTAGGTTACACTGGGCCACAACTGTGATCATTTCCATCTGTTGCAAAGGCAAAAAAGACTTCCTGATTTCTTTTCACTTCTGCCCTTCTCTTCGTTGTGTTTCATGTCCTTGTGTCATCTGCAGAAGTATTTCTTCATAGTATGTAGAAAAGAAGACAAAGTAGTATTTGATGACGTTGTGACATAATGTGGCAAGTCAAAAAAAGATTTTGCAAGTGTAGTATTTAGTGGTTATACTTAAAAGGTTTTGTTATTCTATAAATTATTCAAGGGAAATATTATTGGGGCCCTAAAATACCCACTTATTAATCATGATTATCCTTGGCATTTTTATTTAGTTGGATTATGCGAACTGTAATCACAGCCAGAGACAAAATGTTCTCCTCCGGTCTCTGTGATTTTATGCAAATGGTGTCCAGTGTTCCTGATGTCAAGTCAGAACCCAAACGTTTTATCATCTTTTGACATGCCCTCCTAATTGGCTACACAGTAAGAGCTGAATAGACCAGGCATGGGTTAATTGGCCTCAGTTTCTGGTCCCTCAAGCTCTGGGGCAGGGAGCCCGTCTGCCTAGATGATGTTTAATTCAGGGGTCCAGATGGAGGTGTAACAGCCTGGCTGTGAGATCTTTGACTCACACTTTATCCAGACATGGCTGTGGCCGTGGACGGCCTCTGGGGATGGCCCCTCCTGCTCGTCAAAGTCAATGTAGTCCCAGGGACAGTGATATCACTCTGAGCCAAGTGTTGGTGCTTTGAACTGGATAATACCAGATCACTGGAAAATAAATTAATTTATTAAGAGATTTGAGCATAAAATGAAACTTAATGAATAAAAATTTGTAGTGTAAGCTCGTGGATATTAATTGTTAGTGTTGGCATTTGGAAGAACTCAGAACCAAGGAGTGCAAAAGAGAAGTCATACATTCAGTTTTACATAACTATCCACCAACAACAGTTCTGTGTCAGTTGTAAGATCAAAACAAAAAAAACAATGTCTACTGGCTTGCATAAATCAATGCATTCTCATATACTTAGATCAATTAAAAATATATAGAAATGGACGCCGGTTTGTGGTCTGCCATGTATGTGCTTAGAGTACGTCATGTAGCGAGGCAATTGCAAAGACACGTTTTAATTTGCATCTGCACCGTCAGAGTCAAGAAGTCATGAAGGCCTGTGTTTTATCATCTGATTATATTTTATCATCCCTCTTTTACCAAAGAAGTGAAAATCCAAAGGAAGGAGACAACGTGATTGGCATCTCAATAAAATGTCATTCTCCATCTCACCTCTCACCTCATCTCACCTCATCTCTTGGACTGAAGTCAGGGCTCTAATACAAAAAAATGTGCATATACATGCTTATTTATTTCTGATAATGTCGTAATTACTAACTTCTCAACAGATTAGCCATGTGACCCTCCCGTCTTCAGAAAATGAGCTAAAAATTGAAAGCTAGCGAAACAACAACAACACATGGTTATAAGCTATTATTACCTTAATACCTTTATTTGTACAGAACCTCTCAAAACACAGGGTTAAAGAGTATTTCATAGTTTGAGAACTCAGTTGACTGCAATCCGCAGTCTACTGAGTTCTAGCGGTAAGATTTTACGCACTATAACTTTAAGTAAGACAATAAACTGTTAAAAACAGTACCTTGAGTGAGAGTGAAATTGCAAACTATACTGCAGTGTAACTGTTAAGAAGTTCCTTTCTCAGTGTGCTGATTGACAACTTCAGCTCTTTCTGAATATTCATCTCAGTTAATCCTTATTTGACTGTGTGCTGGATTAATTAGAGAATAGGCTTTAAAATTTGTTA